ACCAAGAGACCAATTGCCAGGAGGAGGCGGCAAGTGCAGTGAGAGGGAGGAGGGAGCAGAGATGGGCCTGGCATCCTCTCAGCAGACTCATGGGATGGCTACGCCTGGGATTAGACCGCGATAGTTGGGAGTGGGGGGCCTTGCTGGATAGGGGGTACATTAGAGTAAGAACCAAAGCAGCACGAGATTTGTCCAGCACTGGCACCATTAGAGATGCTTCTGGGTCCCCTTTCAGGGTTGCTCCTTTTAGATGAGGTAGAGGCTTTCAAAAGTTACTTTAGTTCAGGAAATATTTCTGAATGGGAGGAGGAAAGTGTAGAAAGGACTGTCTTAGAAGCAGAAAAGGCCCAATCCTTCTCAGATACATGGGCTGCGGCTGCTGTGCCATGTACCTCGGAGAGGAGGATACCACCTTGGGGGCCTCTGCCAGGCTTGAGACATGCTTAGGTGTAGAGCCCAGCTACTCAGTCAAAAGTCCAGGCTCAGCAAGTCATAGAATATCTAGGCAGGGCAGGACTTCTACCACGGCCAAGGCCACTTGAGAGGCAGGAACGGAAACTGGTGCCCAGGAAGGGTAAGCAACGTGCACAAGGCTACCCAAGGAGGTGATGGCCAAGTCAGAGTTGGAACCACAGAGACAAGGATGACACAGGCTCTGTCTGTAACGTGTTCATGGTCTGGTTGGAGGAGAGAGGCGAGGTAATCAGCTATTTAAGCTCAGGGTAGCGAGTGTTCCAGTAGAGGTGAAGGAAGCTTGGGGAGCCTGGAAAGGGGCACCCTACCCCACCAGGAGCTGTAGGAGGAGGAGGGAATGAGGGAGGAGGCTTCTAGCTGAAACCATGGTGCAGGAGTGGAGTCAGTGGGATGTGAACCAGTGGGGTAAGCAGACTTAGACCATGGTGGCAAGGAGAGGTTTGGCGGAGATGACTCTGTCCTCAGCAGGAGTGCAGCATGCATCAAGCCCAGGGGCATACAAGAGCCCTGTGCATGCATTTGGGAGGACAGGTGAGTGGCCGAGTCTGACTCAAGTGTTCAGTATCTGGAGGTGACCGTGGAAGGGGATAGGGTCCAGGTGATAAATGGCATGGAAGATCTTGTTATGGTGTTTTGGCTTTATTCTGCTGGACACGCAGAGCCACTGAAGTGCAAGCAGGGGAGTAATGCAAGCAGGTTTCCATTGTAGAAGGATCACTCTGAAAGCTGTGTGGAGGCCAACTGACACCTAGGTGGGGTTATTACAGCAAGCTGAGAAGGAAATTCCGGGCCTCTGTGCTTAGTAGGCCTGGTGATCAGTTGGGTTGGGAGTATGGGATTGAATTTGAGGGGCTGGTGGGATATTCAAGAGATGTCAGTTGACATTTGGTTATTCTAGGTTCAGAAGAGATGCAGGCTAGAGATACAGGTTTGAGTCATGGGCATGAGATGTTTATGGAGTGTGTGTTGACGTAGGGCTGCTGTGTGTGGTTGTAGTTTGTGCACTGCACAAGGGAGCCTGGCTAATAAGGAAGAGAAGAGAGAGTGAAATCCAACCTGTACTCCACTCACTGTGTCCTAGCATTGGGCTTCTGTTTTGAATTTGCACAAAGGCAATACCCACACATCAAGCCCTATGTCCCTGGGCTGTCCTCAAGAAGGAGTACCTGCTTTCCCATTTGTACAAAGGCACTATATGGGAGGGTGGCTGTTGATTTAGGCTGTGGAAGTTCTTGAGTGACAACAGATCACACATCCAATGATAAGATATAAAATATGTAAGATCAGAGAGAGATCATCTGAGAGAGGGAATTCTAAACAGGCCACATGTCCGAGGAAGTGGGGGAGCTGGGCTGAAGGAAACTGGAGGCCAGCACTCCATACTCGGGTTTAAAGTA